GATCAGGACTCTGTAACCACAACTAAAGCTAATATTCATGCACAAAGTAATGTGTTGAGGCAATAAAGTCAACTGATTGGTAATTGATTTTGTATTCTATTATGTTATAATCTTTTTATGACATGCACACGGTCAGTCTGTTGGTTTGAACTATGTTTGTAAGTATCTTTAGTTAACCAAACTAAGCAGGTTAAGAATGTTGTTGGTTTTCTACTTTTGTTTAGTGACAACAACCTGCAAGTAAGCCTATGTGTTGTATTTATCTTTGTATCCACTCCCAGCAACACCCATATGGCAATATGGGTGTTCTTTAAAACATGAGAGGGGTTTGTCAAGTGGTCTTTGAGAGCTTACCTTTTTCATATCTCACAAAACCATGTTAAAATGTTCTCTTCTTTAATTTACTTAATATAGTTCAATTTTGAATCTAGTAAATTACATCTTTTCAATGTACCATTTTTTTTTACCAGGTGGTGGGGCTAGTGGTGGGCCTGAGTGGACTTTACCTGCTGCTGGACTACAGACAGAGCAGTATATTCTTTTCTCATATCTACATCATTCTGCCAGCTGTCCTCGCTCTCTGCAGCGCTGTGCTCTTGGTTGTCAGCGGCTGCCTCGGCGCCTTGAAGAGCATCGAAGATTCCCCCATTCTCCAGGGACTGGTAAAATTGTGTGTGTGTGTGCGCGTGTGTGTTTGTGTGTGTGTGTGATATTATTTATAAATGCATTTGGCCTTGACTTCTACCATTAACATTTGCTCTTGGACAGTTTGTCTATCTTTTAGTTGTGGTCTTCTGTCTGGAAAGCACAGCTTCAGTATTGGCTTATTTTCATTCTACAAAGGTATAAACTTTATACAAATTCCACACACTGGGTGTTCAGTTCACTGAAAAAACAATTCAGGGGTAAAAAAAAATACACATTAACATTTTCTGTGTGCTGCATTCTTTCAGTTGGATTCAGAGTTAGCATCTCTTGCAGGAGTCTTTCAGGAGTACGCAGGCAGCAGCCAAGACCCCAAGTCTCGAGCGGTGGATGTTACACAAGAAGAGGTGTGTATGTTGCTCATAGCGCATCAGAATGGGGCCGTAAAGGCAATATATATACCCTAAGTATGTTTGTATCGTGTGTGCAACTTGTGTAAAAATATCAACAACGCTAGGAAATCTGAAAAAAGTAGCTTATATCATTAATTAACTTGTACTTTTATAAAAAGCAATATTTTGTTAAAGTAAAAGACTTCTATAGCAGGAACAAGGCACAAATCAGCAACAACTTCATCTGAGTGTTGGATTATTAAAGTACTTGTTTGTTTTATTCCTTTAATGGCCACGATACTGCCTTGCAAATAAAAAGTCTCCAGTCTTTTTTTTAAATGTTAAGGTAATACATTTCTCTTTGAAGGAAATATTTAGACTACAAAGAAGATGATGAGGACTCAGGAGATTTGTCAGACTGTTAAGTTATACTGTGAAATTGACCCTCACCGGGCCCTCATTTAAAAAATCTTCTTCTTAGATATTTTTTGTGTGCAAATAGGTTACCTAAATATTGCCCACGACAGCATGATAAACAAGTGTCTTTTGAATGCTTTAATAGATCAATTTTTGGGTGACTTCCAGTGTTATTGATTGATAATGTTAGCCTATTTTGTCATCCTGTTAGTTGCAGTGTTGTGGTGTCCATGACTACAGGGACTGGCTGAATACGTCCTGGTTTAATGTCACAGGTGGAGAGTTGGTTCCTCACAGCTGCTGCAACTCTTCTTTCCCCTCCTGCAATGGCACAGTGGACCAGCCATGGAAGCTTAACACACAGGTAGGAATTTGCCTTCAGTAATTCAACATAAACATAAAAAGCTCCAGCTAATTTGGTGACATATTGTGCCTGTCTGTTTCTCTGTCATATGTTTGTCTGTTTCAGGGCTGCCAAGTAAAGCTGGAGATATCTTTTCAGTTTTTGCTGGATTTAATCATCTGGTGCTCCCCAGCAGTGTTTCTGGTCGAGGTGGGGAAATCTATTATTTACATTTGAAATAAATTGTTAAAATAAATTGTCAAATGAAATCCGAAAATAAGGTAGAATGACAGTGAATTGTAATGAAATAAGTGTTCATTCTTGTTATAAAAACCCATTCTTATTACATCAGTGGAGAATGAAAGCAGCATGAATCCATTTGAATTTGGCCAAGATTTTATTTTAATTAGGGCCTGAGCACCGACCTCAGACCCTATTGAAACTGAAGGAGTTATTATTCTCCCTCCCAAAAATGAATCGCTTATTTGGGGGCTTTAACGTGCACGAAAACTCACCAAACATCATACCACTCATATACCGTGGCATATGCCATCACTCAAATCATACTTGATGATAAATGCACGATATTGGCACATGAGGGGACCAGACCAGACATCAGAGTGGCATATGTCACTCATATGCCGTGGGACATGAGTGGACCAGAATGGCGTATGCATCTCATGTGCTGCATGAGTGGCATATGCCACGGCACATGAGTGGACCATACCAGACCATCAGTGGGGCATATGCCGCTTGTGTGCATTGGCATTGGCAAGACAGGATGGGGGTAGGGGACTTCAAGAACTTTGAAATGAACTCCAGCAGAGTTTTTCAATTTTAATTTAAAGCTCTGTGATGTGTAACTATATAATATAAGCTATAATATAATCAAGATTGAACTGAAAAAGCAGTCTGACCATAAGATCCTAACAATAAAGCATGTTGTAGCTCTATAAAGAAGCATCTATCTGTTACTATAATCATTATTTTGAGTGATTGCATATGCTGCGGCATATGAGTGGCATGTGTCGTTCTGGTCCACTGATGGGCTGTGTCAGGCCGACACATGTCGCGGCATACCCCGGTCTGGTCCATGTGCAGCATATGAGTGGCATTTGAGTGGACCAGAATGGCAGGTGCCACTCATATGCCGCGGCATATGCCACTCATATGTTGCATATGCCACTTGCCAGTATTACGACACAAATCGATTTGCACAGCCCACTGCTTAGCCACATCACCATTCTGCTGCGCTCCCCACGGTCGCTACACACCCCGACATGCACAGGGGTGCGAGGGCCCTTTATCACTGCTTGCAGTTTTATTTTTTCTTAATTTTGGAGAAAAATAAAGCCTAAAATAATGTATTAGAACTGTCTTAAGAATGACTTTATAGACAACAATAAGTTATTTATTTCATACTATTCACAGGAAGTACAAGAATTGTTCTGTATCAAAACATTTCCAATAACATGCACAACATATTTTGCACTTTTATCCTTAAGATGGATGTTTCAGCATAATTTTTTATTTTCAAATTACATACATGTTATCTCCTTTCTTCTTTCTTTTGTGTAGCTTGTGATGTTTGTGACTGTGGGACAGCTGATGAGAGACCAGCCTTTAAGGAAATATCAAGAACTCAACAAATAGACACTAGATGGGAATGTATTGTGCTTCTGAGCTAATATTACAATACAGAATAATTTGTAGTATGCAGACCTATACATCACAATTAAACTACAATTAAATGTTTTTTATTGTACACTAAAAATATAAAAGTAATTTTGATAAATGCAGCTGTATAATATATTCTTGCTGTCAAATCTGTCTTAAACACATACTTTTAATTGCTGCTGCAACAATAAACTAAATTTGATTGGCTTGCACTGTGTTCTGACATCCATACTGAATTAGTGGTCTAGATATTCTTTAAAGATTATATTTTTTTCTGATTTAATTTGATAGGGCTTCTATAGAGATAATGTAGGGGGAGAAGGTTGGGGACGACATGCATCAAATAGCATCAAAACGAACCTGTGAGTGTGAAGAGGACTGTGGCCTCTGGGTTTCTGTGATGTGATCTGTTAACAAACAGTTCATAATTCGCAATTCACAAGACTTTTTCCCAAAATATTTCAATTGAAAAAGGCTTCGACGAAGGCAAGTTTATTTACAGTATTTTAGCACATTTCAACAACAAGGCAATTCAAAGTGCTGCACACAAGACCTTAAAGTATAAAGTTGATTAAAAAATGAGGGCAAATCCCACACACACATTTTCAGGGTAAACGTCTAATGCAATAGTTAGCCTAGATGTCACTTTCAAGTGAGTCTTCTTTCACTAGGCATGCAGCTGACCATGAGCCTTTAGCTATTGGAAATGAGACAAAGATCAAAATTGTGTTAATGTAATTTAAATCCATCAGTCTAAATATCTCCAATAAAAATGCTTTAAGAATAAACAATGATAGCCTCAATTAGATTAAAGGAAGACTGAGTTTGCATACCTCGTATTACATGTCATTATGACGGTTTCCCCTGACGTACCAGTCATGCAATGCAAGGTTTTCAGGTAAACTCCAGGTACTGCAGATGTTGCATGCTGGATTTTTGTATATTTTTTGTATACTATGAGCTCCTTTTTAATGTGTCTGTGCCTATGTCATGTATTCCTGATAAAAACAAAAAAACTTTGATTGTATTATATTTGTATTTTATATTCTTACCACACAATCTATCAGGTGACCCCAGGAATTGTACATGGATGTGTGTCATCTCAGATGTAGCCTATATCTGGTGAAGGGCAAGAGCCCGAAACCTCACATGTGGTGATACTTCATTAAGAAACAATTTGGAGTAACTTCTGATGTGCAGACTCAGTCTTCCTTTTGGTTTCGTGTTTCTGTCCAGCACCCAGTACTTATTAATTTGGATGTGTTTTTTGGGGGGTTATGAATTCATTTAGATTGAGTTCATGACAAACTGTGTCACTGATATAAAAAAAATAAAAATAAAGAGAAATGTTTAGAGTTTTGAACCGTTTATTTAGGAATCTATACACAAATGACAATGGTATTTTTGAGAAAGGCCTGCATGTTGACCATGGATATTGACCACGCTGTCTCTTCTGCAGAGGCGTGGCTGCACGGGAGTGGGCGTGGTCGGTCGTCACGTAGCTCCCCTTCTTCGGTTTCTTCTCCCGTAAGGCCGACTTCAAGGTAAACGCAGCGACGTAACGGTGGAATATAGCAGAAAGAGTCAGGACAAAAAAACAACAACAACAAAAGGCTGGTAAGCTCTTGAATTTGATATTCAAATGTTGTTAAATTTTTTTAAAAAAAGGTTGCGGAGGTCTTGCCATGCTGCTTTCGCGGCCCGCTGAGGTGGCTAACGTGAGGCTGCGTGGCCTGTTAGCAGGCCGCTGGGGTTTCGGCGCGGGGACAGAAATGCTAATATCCGACGCTCTCCAAAATAAGTGCACGGTGCTTTATGTAATGTAGTCAGCAACAGTCCGCCACGTCCTTTATCCGCTTTAGCTAATGCAAGTGGGGTACAAGTCTGCATGTTTTTACGTGTACAATAGTAACCCTGTACCCTGCATTCGAGTACCTGGTTTGGCATAATCTTTAATTAGAGACGATACTTAGCATGCAGGCTAGTTCGCTAACTAGGCCTCTGCACGTTTCAACAACAGAGACCGCTCCTGAGTGGTTGTCTTATTGACGTGTAATGAAAACAAAGGTCTATTGTTGACACTGCGTTTTTTTTTTTTTATCTACAATGGTTCATGCCAAGGTACATGTGTCTTTTTATATATATTTTTTTAGATTACATTTCATCATGGACACAATCCAAGGCGTTAATTATAAATCAATGTCGTGTTTTTTGGTAGCTCTTTGAAGACATTGAGATGTAAGCTGTCACCTTGGTTACTGTCACCTTCTGTTGCCGTCTCTGTGTAAGACCCTATTTTTCCCCCAAGTGCTCGTTTTAATGAGAAATTAGTTGTGCTTTTGTCATCTGTATTGATCTACTTACTGACTGATATCACAGATAATATTCAATATGAAATGTTTTTTTGGTTTGTTTTAATAAAGAAAGAAACAAAAAAAAAAACAAGCTTTGACATCATTCTCTTTGTTTCTTAATATCACGTCCTTCATTCAGCAATTAGGATTAAATCCTCACTGTTGGGATTCTGTTTTCCCCCCCAATCAAGCCTCAGGAGCAGTGGCGTGTCTTCATGGCAGTTCATCGAGGACACACTAAGTACTTGAAAGTGAGTATGAGAAATAAAGCTCTCATTACAAAAGGAATCATAAACACCATTAACATGCCCATTAGGTGTAAGAATCACATGTGGATATCTCTAAGTTATGAGCCACGCTAAGTGTCCACGCTGGGTATTAAACATGCAGTCTCCAAATGCGACCACTTTGTCAAATTACAGTGACTATTTGTTAACTGATCTAACTTTCCCCACCTCGTGCAAATTAACGCTGCGCCTCATTGAACTTCAAAAGAAAAATCATTTTAATGAAGATCACTTAAAAACTGTGATGCAGACCCACTGTACAAACTAGCAACAGCAAACTGGTGGGGAGAAAAAAAATCAGACAAAAAGATCTGCGTGATTAACAACCAGATCCACATAATAAAACAAATGTCTTATTACTGCACTGCATTATACTCTGTGATGATCAGCCCTCCTGATTGCACCGTTCACAGCCTGTGGAAACATTAATCGTGCATTAATGTCGGTGTGTGCACTGGACTACAAGACAGATTCCTCTGTTTATGCAGTCGAACTTAATGAGTTTACAGGACATCTATCTGTATTCTCATGCACACCTGGCTCTAATGCATTACCAATTTTAAGACAAAATTATCACAAGACACAGCAGAGAGACGCATAATCAGTCATGTATGAGAGAGCGTGTTACTCCACGTGATCATTGCAGTGGATACAGGGAGAGAGGACTTTTCACCCATTGGTTACTGAGGCCATCTGTTAAAGATGGAATTAGTATTTGCATTATTAAATGAATACTAGTGATACAATCAGGTTCTTTGGTGATGGCTAAGCTGACATAAATGTACAGCTTCCAAAATACGTCGTGCTTCATGTCGAAATATAGACAGAAGAACTTTGTTATGAATGTGTGAAAAAGATGTAACACAGCTCCGTTCTTATTTAACTTGGAACTAATGACTCAATTCTCTTTAAAGGAGAGATCGCATTAAGAGAAATCAATATCAAGTCTAATGCCAGCTCCCGCTGGCTATGAATGTGTTTACTGGTTTAAAACAGGATTCTCATTCATCCTCCCAGGCAGCGTATCTTACCCACCAGAATACACAATCACAACCCTTCTCTTGCATGAATGGACCTCTGTCAGATTAAACACTGGACGGGTTCCCTTTTCAGGCCCGATCTCCCTTCAGCCACCAGTAAATGTTGCCATCGTATTTGCAATAGGACATGCTCATTAACTTCAAGTCCGGCTCCGCTCTTGGTGTGGGCACTTTTCATTGTTACCTTCACAAGTCTTAGGCTGCAGACTGTCATGTGATTGAGATAATCTTAAATTATTAGAGTCATTTGTCTCCTTTGCAAATGCAAATCTGACTTGTAATTGTATAAAATGACATTTTTTAAACCACTACAATGAGACAAACTTGCGCGTTAATTCCCGTCATATGCTTTCGTATTATAATTGATAACCATTATGGGGCTTTATAATGCTGTTAAATCCTCTTTGTCTGTCGCACTGAAAACTGATTACACTGCATGGCCAATCTTAATCTTTCTCCACCAAGAATACCAGAATTTTAAGAACTGAAGCTTTTATGTAGGAAAGATTAATTTTTAATTGCTGAAGCCCAAATTGCATTGGCAAACACAAAGAAACAACACCGGCATACTATATTTTGTTTAATATCACCACGGGTTGTATTAAAATAAAGAGTTTTGATCTGGTTCTTTCCATTTAATGAACCAGAGAAAGACATACCAAGTTGAGGAGACTGAAGTCTCTAAAGTAGACATCCATGGATAACTTGTTTGGTCTCTGGCAACAGGGATGCACATTTTCAAATTCCATTTACAACAAAAGTAGCCTATTAAAAAGGAAAATGAATGTCCTATTATTGTTAGAAGCTGAGACTAGTTAATGTTTAATTTTTCCTTTGAAAAATGACCGAATAGACGGATGGACTATGAGGATGTCTAGTAATGAATCAGTTCATGGGTCCACTCGATCTCTGCATGTACGCCCCTTGTGCTTACCTTGCTTTTGTTTCTTGGCCCATCTGGCGGACCTGCAGGAGGTGTATGACATGTCAAACGGTTATGAAGACCACATGGGCGGGGATGAGGGGAAGGACTCCAAGACCAACCTGATCGTGAACTACCTGCCTCAGACCATGACGCAGGACGAGCTGCGGAGCCTCTTCAGCAGCATTGGAGAGGTGGAATCTGCCAAGCTGATACAAGACAAAGTGGCAGGTATGCTACACTCTGAAGCAGTCTTTAGACATGTGACAAACCAGCCTAACACATCAATGAAAGTGGCAAGGGATTTCTGATACAGCCCTAGACAAAGGAGTTGGGACTACAACCTCTGATTAAAGCAGTTGTGTTTCAGCTTTGTGAGTCAGAAAATGACCAAGCAAATTACCCATGTCTTTGCTGGCAGGATATTTTACTGCAGGCTTGTTCTCTTTCGCTTCACTGTCATCGGTGATTTTAAAATGTAATTTTTACCTTTTTAAAGGTGTCCCAAATAGATTTCTTACTTGAGTTGGCAATTACTTTTTAGAACACCATAGACCTGTTTTATTTATTCCAAGCAGTCCAAACCTGTTTGACCGTAGACAGTTTCTTTGTTTGTTTGTTTAGACTAGCATGCAATGTTGAGATTTGTTTTGTTTTTAAATTATTTGTTTGCAGATTTTTTTAACTATACACCTTTTTTTTTTGTTTTTATTTTATTGTTTTCCTTTTTTTTTCTCTAGGCCACAGTTTAGGGTACGGATTTGTTAACTATCTTAACCCTAGTGATGCAGACAGAGCTATCAGTACACTGAATGGACTAAGGCTACAGTCCAAAACTATCAAGGTAACGTGCAATAAGGTGTTCTACAATTCTCAAACCAAAGATGTCATGTCATATAACTCTTCTGTGGCTCCTGTGCTGTCCGCTAACTAGCTAGTACATGTCAGCCCGAGGAAGTGATACTGCTTTTACAGCTCACTTAATGCCCTATCTGACATGTCTGTTGAGTTGGACTTAAACTTTACGGATTTTATTTTGTGCATTTGTCCAATTACATGTATTTAATTTTGGAAAAAGATCTCCTCTAAGTTTTTTTGTTTTTGTATTGTTCATGTATGCTTCTGACCATCATTTCTTGTCAGTCTGAACACTTTAAACCTAAAACTACTTATGTGACAGTGTGGATGTAAGATATGTTTATTTAGCTCCATTTATTCACTAATTGTTTTCAAAATAAAAGAGGAACCCTTTGAACATTTTAAGCTGAAATTGTAACTAATAACACAGCTGATTCATTACGGTTGTAAATCCAAACACTTACTTGTTTGATAGTTTTAAGAACTATTTTTGTTTATGAATTTTTTTTGTTACTTTGTTTTGTACTGGTGTATCAGTAGAGGTGTAATTCGGCATCGTTGTCTTCTTTTACTAGGTTTCATACGCACGACCCAGCTCTGATACAATAAAGGATGCAAATCTGTATATCAGCGGCCTGCCAAAGTCCATGACCCAGAAGGATGTGGAGGACATGTTCTCAAGATTTGGACACATCATTAACTCTCGGGTACTTGTAGATCAGGCTACAGGTAAGACAGGTGATTGACTTCCTTGCTTCCAAAAATACTCTTCAATTTTAGATAACAGCACAAAAACTGTGTTTTTTAGTGCTTGTGACAGAATAATTGGTCAACAACTGCTTGCTTGTATCCAGGTGTTTCCCGCGGGGTGGCCTTTATCCGGTTTGACAAGCGGGCCGAAGCAGAGGAAGCAGTCAAAAGTCTGAATGGCCAAAAACCACCTGGATCCTCTGAGCCAATCACAGTGAAATTCGCTGCCAACCCAAACCAAGTGAAGAACACACAGATCATCTCCCAGCTCTACCACAACCCCTCCAGGCGCTTCGGGGGGCCCTTGCATCACCAGGCACAGCGGTTTAGGTGAGAAACGTTGTTTATGTCTACATTCACTTAACATGAGAGCCATAACCCCTATTTCATGACAAGACACCTAAATAATCAGTGACTGAGTGCCTGTAGTCAGAATCAGGACATACGGCTTGCCATTTCTCATTCAAATCCAAAACATAAAAAGCTCAATATAACGTGTTTATGGAAACAGACGTATTTTTGGATTAGGGTTTTAACTCGGTTTGTAAAATCAGTGATATAACAGTTATTTAATGTACAAGAAAGAACCTCCAGGTAGGACTGTTTTTGAATGTGATTAACAGGATCTGCTTTCAGTGAAAAACTATGCAGCTATTTTTATGTTGAAATCTTGTATGTGATTGAGAATAGCATAAAGACAACATAGGGGTCAACGGCATACCGCCATCACCGGTTTAAAGTCACACGTTTGGTTTTAGAGCACACACAAGGCAACAATGATAGCTCAACCTACAAGCCTCAGTGTTGGTGGGTAAATAAAAGTAGAGTAAAAATAGTGATTTCTGACAGACCGCAGCTCAGAAGGAGTCCTCCGGTCGTCTGTTTCGCTCTGATGATCGGAGCTGAACCTTGCTTTTGGTAAATGGTTAAAGGCTTTTTTTCTGGCATGTGGACCAACAGTTATTGTTTGTTCAAGAGAATATAAAGATAATAATGATTATGAAATGAACAGATCATTAAATTATCAGAGAGACTACATTTGTTGCGACAGACTAAATTTCAGCTCAGTTTTATTGTGAAATCCAGAAGTTAACTAAGCATTCTCGTTTCCAGGTTCTCCCCAATGGGTGTTGACCACATGAGTGGCATGGGAGGCGTCAGTGTCCCCGGCAACTCCACCTCTGGCTGGTGCATCTTCATCTACAACCTGGGCCAGGATGCTGACGAGAGCATCCTGTGGCAGATGTTTGGCCCCTTCGGTGCTGTCACCAACGTCAAGGTGATCCGCGACTTTAACACCAACAAGTGCAAGGGCTTCGGCTTCGTTACCATGACGAACTACGAGGAGGCGGCAATGGCCATCGCCAGCCTGAATGGCTACCGGCTTGGAGACAAGATGCTGCAAGTGTCCTTCAAGACCAGCAAGGGCCACAAATAGAGAGAGCTGGACAGTAAGGTGTAGAGGAGAGATGGAAATGACCTACGTTAAGCTTCTGTGGCACAGAGCAGAAGTGTAAAGTTGGAAAGTCTGGCACATCCTTTTGGGGTTTTAGTTTATTAAGAGTTCAATGAGAGTTCACTCTTCTGCACCTTTTTACTTGTCTAAGAGTTTTTTTTCTTCTCATCTTTATACTCATGCTTGAGGGGAAACAGAAGTTTCATTTTTTTTAGGGAGAGGATGGAGAGGACAAAATCCCATGATACCCCTAGTTAACTTTTGGAATGATCTCAAATCTAAAATACTGTCCATATGTGTTGCATGTTTTATTGTGAGGAATAGATTAAAGAGGCAAGAGTTTCTTAGCAATTCACTGAAAAAATAAGAGGAAGACACTGCACATTGTTGTCTAAGAGTCAACATTTCATGGTCAAGAAGCTAAAGAACAGTATATTGCCTGTACTTTTTGTAGGAGTCAGCAGTGCTCTGCTCTGATCCTCATCATCGGTTAAAATAGATGCCTTAAATTATCATCTGGTGGATTAATAAACCTGAAATACCACTTACTGTTTTTAGTTAATCTAAGAGCAAAGCACTTTCAGTCAAACTGTTTTAAGTTACGATGATTATCTGTTTTGTATGTTCATCTACAATTTTAGCTCACCTTCCTTCCGTGGGGGGAAAAAAAACAAGACAAGTTGTGGTGATAAAGGATTTAGTTTTGTTGTCCCTGTGTAAAGTCTCTTTTATTACAAGTTGTATTTTAGGAGAGTCCTGTTGAAAATGAGCCCCAGTCAGTGAGTAGGGAACTAAGATGGACCAAATAAAGGGAGAGATTTGATCCAAAGGAGAGGTTTTTTTCACAAGGTAACTTTGATCCTTTTTTTTTTTAGTGGTTGTTGGAGAGGTACTGAGCTTATATTTAATCCTCACTTAGAGCAACATGTCTTTAGCTCAGTTTGTTGTTCTGTTTCTTTAGTTTCTTATTTTTTTTCTCTTTTGTTTGAGTTTTTTTTCCCTCTGCAGAAACATATTCTCGTTCCTCTATTCATTTCAAACTTGTTTGAACGAGTGCTCATCTCGAGTTCTGACAGACGTTAATGGCCTTTGTTTATGATTTTTCTTCAGTTTTGGTTTCTTTTCTTTCTTTTTCTTTTGATTGTTTCACTTTGAGCATAAACCATTAAATTTTATTTCTTTTTGCTGAACGTTTTGTTTGGTTGTTTCTTTTTTTATATTACTTTATTTTGTATTTTTGTTTTGAGTTTTGTTCTATTATTTTCCAGAAGCGACTCAGCATTGCTTTCAAGAGACCCTTGGCCAAGCTAAAGCAGGCTTTTACAAAATGTGTTTCTGCACGTGGCAGGCTGGCTTTTCAACTTTTGAGACATGCGGTACTTTTATTTAAGAGATTCTCAATGAAAGGACCAATTTCAGTCAAGATCATGTTGTTTAACACATCGACAGACACCTCTAGGAAAGTTATGACTGGGCAAACGCTCCATGAACAACTTTTCTCAGATCGCTACAGAAGTTGAAACCACTAATAGGCATCTATTTCCGTTAAATCTGTACAGTATGTTTTCACTTTTGGTACGGCCATCTTCTCAGCAGTTGTGACTTGAATATTGGCCGTTTTTATTGACATAAGAATATCTGCTTTTAAAGAACCCCTGCTGTTTGAAATGGGCAAGATAACTTGATTTGTCTGCTTGAGTGCAGTAGTGTAAAGTGAAGATAGATTAGTTGTGCTTCAGCTGTGTTTGATATGACAACACAGCGAATAAGTTTACCTTCTCTTGCAGGTTTGACTTTTAGACTCATTAACTGCTCTACTCTTTATTTTCCATTTATTTTTATGGGATTTGTTTTAACTGATAAGATGTTTTTATCCAGTTAGAAAAGATCATCTTCAGCTTATCTATTTAAAATGAGAATTTGGTAGGTCGTGGTGTTCTCCAAGGTGGGTGACATATGCAGCATCAGTACTGTACTAAAGCTCGGTTAAGCCTCACCTAACATTTAACCATGGAGCCATTTGGTGTTACAGTCGAAAAGCAGCAAAGGATTCTTGGGAACAGTATGTGCTCACACTGCTTAGGATTACTCTCTGAGCATTAATACTCCTAACACTTTCTCTAAATGCCTCTTTAATCTTGTTGACCCCTCTGAAAGGAGTTCTTTTGTTACAAGCTTCAGATGTTGGTCTCGAAAGTGCTTTTTGATTTACTATTTCAATGTTCTATCTGTGTCATGATCCTTAACCTTGTGCAATATTTCATGCAGGTAATAGACATTTCCTGTCTTGTACTGTCATCTTTTTTTTTATGATTTCTTTTTTTCTACTGACATATGTTACTGCTTAGTTTTTTTTTCAGCAGTCTTGAAATTGCATCAAAGATGCAAGTGAATTTGTTTTAGAAGCAGTCGAAATAAAATGCATTCCGCCTTAATTTATAAGTGAGAGATGTATTTGACATCAGAGGAGGCACAAATATTTATTTGAAAATGTGAGGTCAAACGTGTTCAGGAGTGTTTTTAATGGATTTAGTTTTGTTTGGTTTTGAAAGACTCTTAAATTGAAAAAGTCCATTAAATGTCTTCTAACATTGGATCATTTCAATAAAACATGGTGGCTTTTCAAAATCTTGAAATCTTCAGTAGCTTATTATGGACTGCAAAATGACTGTATGCATTGTTGGGCTGCTCTGCTGTTTTTTTTATTATATTTTTGGGCAATTGTTTGCGGTTATTTGATAGGATCGCTGAAGAGAGAGGACATGCTGGGAGGAGAGAGTCGGGGGGGGACATGCAGCAAGGGGATGAGGTCAGATTGGAACCCACAGCTGCTGCGATGAGGACTAAAGCCTCTGAAACGTGCAACATAACCGCTAGGCTTTCAAACGCCCCTTCTCTATCAGTGTTACCTTCAGTTAGCATTGTTATTGGATAACTGTATTTCCTGTTTAACTCATCAGCATTCACTTTGATAAAAACAATAGAAATGAGGTGGCTGAACATAACCTCAGATGCATATAATTCAGTAGAGCCATTTCTGCTTTATAGGAAAGAGAAGGTCAAGTTTACTAGGAAAATGTCTCTGTCAACATGGATTTGTACCTGTAATTACCATCTTTCACCAGATGGGGGAAACATGTCTGCATCTTTATCCCTCTGCAAAACTCCAGGTATACAGAGAAAAATACATTTTAAAGACAAGGCTTTTTTTGGTACCTCAAGGTCTTTAACAACATCCTCAATGATAACCTCTCAACTACAACACCCATAAGAACGGTAAATATGTCACGTTAAATGTAACACTGGTGTAGAGAGAGCTCAGGTAGCCCGGAGAAAGTAAGACTGGATTACTTGAGGCATTCTTTCTATGTTGTGATTTGTTTATCGTGGCAGGATACTGTGATGTAATCATGGCATGTAAATAGAGTATATGCGGTGCTTAATCCACAGTGCTCTCTGGTCATGGCAGCAGACTTTAGGGTGCAGGCATGACTGTTGGATGCAGTCTGGAGAACACCCAGCCATACGGGGACCAGATCAGTTGAAGACATGCTCTCCCTCCTGTACTACTGCGACTCTGAACAGAGAGCGATCCTGCAGCTTATGGTGGGTGATTCAGGTTTGGATTCTTATTTTTTATTTTACTAGATTGTTTTGCATCATGTTGTCACCACTGGCAAAATCTGGACATTTAACTCTTTATCTTGATGGACCGCTCCCTTATTAAAGTTAAAATACTAAAGATCAGCCTTTCCTCAAAATGTTTACCCTATTTGTTTTTCCTAAAATCCCTCCCAAAACACAGGTATTTATTGAGTATGATTTCAAGTTGGAGATCCTTAACGAAATAAAACCTCTAACTGAAGTTTGAGTGCAGCAGGTTTTTATTTAAAAAAAACATTAACGCAAAATTGAAAGCATAGGTATAAAAAAACAGAATTGAACATCTGGTTAGCATAATGTAAATATTGCCATTCATGTTGCTTCACTGTCTATTTATAAACTATACATAGCCTAACGTACGACAAAAACAAAAATGCATCCTCTCAATGTGTTTTACTTTCAAGTCTTTCAACTTCCCAGAATAACTGAGATCATGGTAAGGCAACTCAAAACACTGAAGTCTATACCTGCCATCATACTTCATCAGGACAGCCACTCTGAGAAATGTAACCGTCAACACTGAGTAATGGAACAATAATTAATGTAATGCATGTCGGTGCAAGACAATATGTCTGCAGATGCATTCAGAGTACCCTTATTAACATTGTGTGTACATGTGACACAATGCATCCCCCCCCCCAACTTCAGTCTCAGTCAAATAGAGACACACTACATCAAGTAATGAAGGTTTGTGTTTTCAGCATGGCACAGTGAAAATCCATTCAAGCCGCTAAATCCTGACACTACAATGTACTCCATCCATGGTCTCATGTAGGGCTGAAACCTAACAGGTTATTACCAAAACCGGATTTTTCAGAGCCTCAGATGATGGTCCCTTATAGTCTCAAGTGAGGCAAGTCTTGTGCTTTAGAAGGCAGTATCATTTGCTGGCCATTTTTTAGTTTAAGTGTGTCAGACTTGACAGAGGTTGTAGCAGGCCAGAGGTCTCTCCATCACACTCTCTCCGTCCACCTCGAAAACGTAATCGCAGCGGTGTGTGATCAAAGGAGCATCAGAAAACGCCACACTCTGATTACCAAAGGAGATTACTGTGTCCCTCTGTGGAGAAGAAGTCATAAACAGTAGAGTTAGTTAAGATGGTAAAAGTGGTTCCCAAAGGAACAGTCACTCTATATAGAAAAAAAAAGTTGTCAAAAGGTTTGGTTGTTTCAAGATGTCATTAAAACTTGTTCAAAAGGGCAAAAAGGAAACAGATCTGACAGCGAAATCAACATAGTTACAAGTAAAATTCACAGAAAAAAAAATACACAAATTGTAATATTAGCTATTAAGAGGTGGGCAGGTCTTAGCTTGAAAAATTTTAGATTTCAGTGTTAAAAAAAAAAAAATTAAAACTTGTTCAAAAGGGCAAAAAGGAAACAGATCTGACAGCGAAATCAACATAGTTACAAGTAAAATTCACAGAAAAAAAAATACACAAATTGTAATATTAGCTATTAAGAGGTGGGCAGGTCTTAGCTTGAAAAATTTTAGATTTCAGTGTTAAAAAAAAAAAAGGTTTTAGCTGGGGGCAGATGGCCCTGCAGTGGTCATGCCCCATGTACGGACGATGTAGCCCTCCAAGCAGGTGGCCCAGGCTCAAGTCTGACCTGTGTCACCTTTCCTGTATGTTATTCCCAACTCTCTTTCCTGATTTCCTGCTCTATCAACTGTCCTCTCAAAGCCCCAAAAAGATCTTTGAAAAAAAATATTGAAGCATGTTTTGTTGTCAGGGAAGATAAAACAAGTACCACTCCTGATAAATCAAATCATTTGAGTCTTTAAGCCATGCTAGCAGTGCGGCTGCAGGGACGACGACGTCAATAGTGCGTTATCGTGTTTGAATTCTATTAAAGGAATTAAGTTCAAAGTGCTGTTGTGACCCCGTACAGCCTCACACCATTGATACAACTTTTCCCCCTTAGATTTATCTGTGATTAAATTTAACATGAAATAAATACTTGAGATTTCAAGTTGTGCTTCTCAAAGCTTTTAAATCCTCCCCCAATACTTGAACACTTTTGATCTGAACAAAGAATATTGTCTTCCTTACCCGTTGGGGGCCCCCTCCATTATCATCATCAGCAGTGGCAGTGGGTGGAGAAGAGGGTTCTGCTTTCTCAAAGTCCTTCCTACATAAATGAGCCATAATCCCAGCAGCCAAGGCATCACCGAGAACATTAATCATCGTCCTGAAGCGATCGCTGTGAAGAGATAGAAGCCATTTACACATTGCCCCAACAGCCCCACTGATCCAGTTTATTGTATACTTTTTGTTTTGTGTGTGGGACTCACAGAACCCAGTCGATGGCGACAATCAGGGAGATGTCAGCAGGTGGTAACCCCACTGAAGTCAGGACAATCACCATGGTAACAAGACCCGCTTGAGGTATCCCAGCTGCACCGATGCTGGCAGCTGTTGCTGTTATACTAATAAAACAAGATCCAGGGTGTTAGAGATGTAAAATAACCCGGTCTCCAATTCAAAGATCGTACCATGGGAGGAATGATGACCTCAGCTTAAATCCTCACCTGATAGTGACGAGCTGACCAAAGTCCAAGTCATACTCGTTGACCTGTGCTATAAAGATGGCCGCCACTGCCTCGTACAGGGCTGTCCCGTCCATGTTGATTGTGGCGCCCACTGGCAGTACAAAACGAGCAATCTGCCGGTCCACACCACAGTTCTCAAGCAGGCACTTCATGGTGATGGGCAACGTGGCTGAGCTGCAGAAGACGAAAACAAAAAGGAAATGGTCACATTGGGATACTTATCAGACCCGGAGGTGATGACCAGAAGGGTCAGGATCTCATTACAGTCTGTATTTTTTTCAATGGAAGAATCCAGAGGGCTACATTTTAAACACAATTACAAGAAACCCTAACTCCTCTTACCTGGATGACGTGGCCAGAGCAATAACAAGAGCCTGCAGCAACCCTCTGATATAGGGGAAGGGGTTTTTGCGGGTGAAGAAGAAGTAGAAGAGAGGCAGCAGGATGAGGCCGTGCACAAACAATCCAGACAGGACTGTGATGAAGTACATGCCCAGCTTCTCACCCAGGTGGGCGGGATCTTGCATGTCCAGGATCTTTCCTGCCACTAGGAACACAATGCCAAAGGGAAAGTACCTGTATGGAGGAAAAGAGAAGATCTTTTTCACTTTGATCAGGGAAATTGTTTTTCAACTCCAATATTCTAGTGTATTTATGCAAGGGTAACTTGCATTTTTTTTAACCAGAAAAGATCAGACTACTAGATATTGAATAACTAGCCCATATACTGTATATATTTATCATCTTTCCACTTTGCGAACCATGAAATCTTATTGCATATTTTATCTCTTTCACCTTAAAACACTCTTGTGCACAAAGCCAAGTCCATTAAGAAAGAGGTTCTGCGTTTGGCGTGGATGACCTTGACTGGCTTGACCTCAAACTGATTCAGCACCATCGGGATTAATTGGACTGTGAGCCTTATCAAGCCGTACTGCCGTCAGAGCTTGACCTCACTAATGCTGCTGTGGCTGAATTTACTTTTACGCTTTTACAGCAGATTAATGGCAATGACTTTGGAATGAGATGTTCAAAAGTCTCAGATCAGACTTAAGTTCAGGTGGCCTCAATGAATTTTTGGCTGGGGACAATAATATGCCGTTATTGAAGGAGTGAGAAAGAATGCTGAGCTACAAACATAATCTCTATTGGCAAAAACAAGAGTCACAGTTCGAGTTAACCTTTAGGCATTTTTTAAGACGGGGCTAAAAAGTTACATTTGTAGCACACTCAAAAAGAGTGATGGCGTATTCCAGTATTTACATCTTTCTTTAGCCTTTTATTCCAACTTATACAAACAAACTTGTCAAAGCACTACGTTGTATTTACTTGTTTTTCTTTTTTCTTTTTTCTTTATGCAATGCTTTTTGTGTTTCAAGTTCTTTTTGAATTCAATATTTAAATTCAATTTAATGGACAAAATGTTAACTTGTGCTTTCTAATGAACGGACTGGATTGACTTTACTGGCCGCATATTTTTGTCCAAATGTCCTGCACCTATGTACCACCTCGTAATCCCCTTATAGTAGCCATGGTGCCAATCGTTACGCCCTACCACTGTCAACATTCTGTTTAATGGGTTTTAAGAAGGGGAGGGAAACCCATGACAATTCATTATTTTATAGTTTCATAATCACTTAGATGAATGCTTGGTCAGCATTTGAGAATCTGACTTTGCAGAGGGTTTTCCGTACAAGACAAATGACGGTAAATGAAGTTCGAATAGAGAGTGAGAAGTTCAGGCCAAAACATCCCAATTCACCTTCTCTTTGCCATTCACACACAATAACACCCCTCCATCCTCTTTTTGATGACCATTCTTTAAAAAAACACAGTATTCAGGCATACTAATTGCAGCCTTTGGGGATGAAGAGGTTAACGACATTTCCGTCAGTGCCTCTTACTCCATTCACACAAATGTAATCCTACAGTGGAACTATCGGCTCCCTGTGAGGGACACTTCAGCCGCCACCTGTGGATCTCCTCTGAGTTGCCACCTGAGGTTTATTTTTAGGTATAATCTGGCTCTGTTGTGTGTTGTCCGCCTTTCTTTAGACGTGCGTGTTGAACAGTGTGTTGATGTGTGTGTGTTGAGAGAGTGCGGTCTCACCACATGGCAGCATTAATGATCTTCATGACGCACTCGTTGATGCACTGGCAAACATTGACCAGTGGCGCTCCACGTTCTCCCATCTTCCCCAGCAGCAGACCTGAGAACAGAAAGTACATTCACACGTGTTGAGTTGATAACCAATTCCACTACTGACCAATGTCTCACAAGTCATATCTAATTCAGGGTTTAGATATTGGAATAAGTTACCTAATTGACGGCATGTACAACATCTCTGTCTGCCTTTAAAAATACATATATACCAGTATATAAAGTTATTTAAAGTCACTTTTGCTAAATCTGGTGCAAAGCAGCTACATAATACAGCAGCATTGTTCTCCAGCACAGCATTAGATACGTGTATAATACATTTTCTACCACTTTGTACTTATTCCCCACCTTGTTTAAGTAAAATCATTTACTTCATATTCCACTACATTTATCTGATCTATAAATAAGTCAGTAGTATTTTACAAAAGCCTAAAAAAAATAGTACAACTGAAATTGTTGTTCTTTTATTCCCACAAATGTTCCAATGACACATTTATTTTATTCCTACTCAACCCTTGAGATGAGGAACCATTATAGCTAACTGCATCTAAGTACTTCAAAACCAGCAACAGCAGGGAAATACTGCTTTTAGTGTGATAGATCCAAAAACGTGATAATATATATCACCCATCGTACCAGGCACAGTGGCTTTTTTTCTTCTGTATTTAAATTTTGAAACGGTCAAACTTTTCTTTTAATACTGCTGTTCTTCATCTTCTTCAACACTGGTCATTTCAAAATAGTGTTGACATGACCTCTTTCTTATAAATAAGATTAATACCTACTAAAAGTTCAAGAACGACTCTTTTATCCAATTTGAGTGATTTATTTATTCATTCATGCATTAGTTGAAACTTATGTACTCCATTTGTAGGGGCTGAAAGAAGTGTGATAAAGAATATATATTTATATAAAGAATATACATTTTTTGTTGTTTAAAGCGCCGTGTGGGCACTTACCCATAGTGGCCGAGAAGATGACAATCCCAAGGACGTTCATGCCCTTGCTGGTGCTGGGGACGATTTTATACTTGATGTCAGGAGCCGGGGTGATCTCCAGGAAGACTGGGTGACCCAGTTGAGGGTTGTGATAGTCGGGCATGACGTACACATAGTTGGCCTGAGAATCTTTTACATCTGAGTTCTGAACAATGGGAACCAGGTCTGTGCGATACTGAAATAAAAAACAGAGATCTGTTATCATGTTATAATAATCATTATTTTTTTAAACGATACAGTACAATGCAATGAAACAAGTTATTTTCTTTAATCGACTCACCTGCTGGAAAGTGGCTTCAATCAGGTTTGAGGGGATCATGTTCCTATAAAAGACAATATAATGACACGTTTTTAGGAAATGACTGGGGTGAAGAACATACTAGGTATGACTCTTTTATTAAACATAGAATTAAAAGCCTGGGAAATGTATTCAGTTTAGATATTACTACACTTGTTTGTGCAAGAGATGAAAACTTTTGTATAAGATTTAACTGTGAGAGCCAATGTTTGTCTTTGTCAGCAGAGGAGAATTTTTTTTTCCCACAAGGATAGATTAGTAAAAGATATGAAGTAATGTTGAGCAGAGTGTTCCAAATCTCAATTCACGCTTTTGTTTCTTTTTTCCACTGATGAACTTCATGTGGTATGACTGACAGCAGGGCAGATTAATGGACTTTATTTTATAAAGCCGACAATGACATTTAAAAAAAAATCCGCTTTAGAGCCAACGTGGGCGAGAAGTCCTCAAAGTGTTGGGGAAAATAGTGAACCCAACAGCGTCATGACTCAGTGCTAGCCAGACAGCTGATGGGGATTACATAATGTGATCAAAAGCCCCAGAGCAGCTCAGCGGTGTTCCCTGTGCTTTAATCGTCTTCTTCGCTGTTGTCTTTTCAAAGGTTGAACTCAGGGTAACTGTATCTTAAAAAGCAAATTAATGAATGTTTCTGTAAAGTTGTTCTTTTCTGAGAAATCAGTGTCAATATAAAAAACCTGTGTGACTTTGATAGATGTTGTGATTTGGTCCCACACACTTCAAATCCTTTATTAAATACTGACACACAGCTTTACTGAGTGAACTTAACAGCACTGATAGGAAGGTTTTTGTTTCGTTGCTTGTGGTGTTTTTTTCTTATAATTTCTTGAAGGTAACCTGACCAAAACAAATAATCGGTTAGATATTTTTTTAGTGTTTAACTATACAAAGAATACTGTTAAATTACTAAATCACTTGTGCTTTACTTGAGAGCCAAATTTGATTTCAGGTGACGTGAAGAAGACCTCTGGTCAAAACACTGTGATTTTGATTAATTCAACTTTTGCTGTGGCATTTGTGTGAGGACATATCTCATTTCACTACTTTAAACATCAGTTTAGAGGGGATCTTTACTTCATAAATCCCTCACACTGCTGATGTTATTATTTACTTTACAAGTTTTACAAGAAAACCAGCTCGACTAATAAAAACAGAATGTATTTCTGTTTGTGTTCATACCACCTTAACCTAAAAGAATGAGCTCTACGCCTTCAAAGATCAATGATTAAAATTCAGTTGTTCAGATTTTCTTCCCCTTAAAACCAGCAGCTGATTTATTTGACACCATATAAAAACAAAACAAGCCTTTCACAGTTTACCAAGTTCAGTGTGCACGGTCATAGCCAGCATCATTCACATCACTGTAAATACAGCAAAATGTCAGTGACACTAAAGCCTCAGAGAAAGCTTGTCAAATACGTAAGAGGGCTGAAATGTACACCTGGCATTTGGCTTACAGCAAGAAACACCCCGATCACAGCTCACAGCAATAATCAGGTTTAAGAAGCAGGTATTAGTGTAGCTCTGACATGTATGACCTAAGCACATGAACTAGACTGCAGACCATGTCTAACGCAGCATACTGACAAAACGTTCTGAGAAAGTGAAGGCTTAACAGATCACAATTAAGTGTCTCCCTATTCTTAGCCAGCCTGCAGTGTAGAAATGACTCTGCAAGTACCTTACAGGCACTTTTTTTCTTCTTTGTTTTTGTTAATTTAATGCTCAAACTCTGCCCCGGCTAAAAAGACTTCTAGTTGAGGGTTCCCATTTCTTTGGTGGTATGAATGATAATTCAATAAAGTCTGCAGCCATTCTACGTTTTATTATCGTTTTAAGCTCCTTAAATGATAGAAAATGCCACAATTTCAAAAATCTTTTGATGCAGAGGATGTCTTACTTCCCATTGTGACAGTCATGTTTCACCTGCAGCCACTGAACGGATCCTTTGGGGCTTTGTGATTACAGAGCTTCCTGTCCAAGGCACAGGAGGGTCACAAGGTCTGGATTAAGTTTAATTGGTCTGTACATTCGGCTTTATACAGTCTGTGGTCATATTGTTTTGTTTATTTCTTAGAGAATCCTCATCATAGAAAATCACACGCTCTTTTGCTGTTATAGCTCTAAATTATTACTTGCTGCGTTCACACGTCAGTGGACTCCAACATTTAACAGACTTTGTACAGGCGGGCAGGTCAAAGACTAAAGAATTTCCTGGTCCACTGATTCAGATATTTGCTGGTTTATTTTTTAGCCCTCAGGGAAATGTCTGGACATTTTCAGTAGTGTCCTGGTCTACCATTCCCAAATGATAATGTCTCAATAACTGTTCTGTGGATAGACAATTATCCACCAACATTTTGAACACATACTCATAGATCCCAACGGTGAAGATGTTTTTATACCACTGGGTTTCAATCAAGCTTCTGCGACAGGAAAAACGTTATTTAGTGAAATATCTCTAAACAACGAGCACATCTGCTAAATGTAGACGTTCTTGGTTTCCAGAGGATGACCCTTGATGATGATGATTATCCCCCTGACACTTCCTCTTTTTTAGTTATCATTTCAGATATATGCTGCGTGCCGAATTTAGTGTTGTTCTTAAAGTGTTGCAATGCCAGATCCAGCCAAACAGCATGACTGTAAAATACATATTTCATCATGGAAGTAGTGTTATTCAGAATCACGTCAGAGGTATAGACAGCTGGTATAGACACAATCCAGTAATAGAAATGTTTGAATGACAGCGCTCCTCTCACATTTTTCACCATGATGAGAACTTCTGTGTCTGTTAATATTCACCTGATGAGGTCCAGAAGAGCGTCAGCGGAGGTCATTACAGGCCCTGAGCTTGCGTGGTGGCCATCTTTCTCTGAGCCCGTCCCCGGATGAATGATGAGCACCAGGACGATGCCGACGATGACAGCGATGAAGGTCGTCCACAGGTAGTAGGTGATGGTCAGGACCCCCAGTCGGCCACTTGCCTTGGTGTCCATGGCTGACAAGCCGGACATAAGACTGGGAGAAAACAAAGGTAGGTGTCTGAATAGTTCTAAGTTAACTAAACTGAACACTCAAGCAGAGAATTGGATTATTAAATTCCATTATATTTTAGATTATTTGAAAATGATATTCCTATAAAGGAAACTCAAATCTTTGATTGAAAATGTATTCTGTTGTTCACAGTTATTGGATACTCTGTCATGTATATATTTGAATTCATATTTAACATTTTTATTATCAAAACAAGTGGAGACGTTGGGGACATTTCATTCATTGGAAAATTACAAGTAATTAATTCGTACAATAACAGACTGCTGAATCAAAAAATGAATTAAATCCGTTTTTCTCAGTAATTTTAAGTTACTGTGGGTCTGTCAGTGGCATTTTTCACTTTTCTAAACAGAGATTGTTTATTTCTTATGTTAAAATTAGAAAACCAATCACTTTATAGAAAAGGGATAGAGAGGTAGTTGGGAAGCATGTAGATTTTAAACCACATTAATGTCAGCATTTGTCTGATTGGAGTATCAATTAATTTTGCCAAAGATATTCTCTGCTGAAAAACATATTCAACCTCAAGTTATACATTTTTGCTAAGGTACCAACATTGTTCAACATTAAGGACAGTTTATAAAGTAATTTCATAACACTAAAATGAAGATCCTGTGTTCAATCCTATTCTATTGGGGGTTTTCAATCAGAGCACGGGAGTCAAACTTACCTGGAGGTGATGAGAGGTAGAATCAACATCTTTAACATTCTCATCAGCAGTTCTCCAGGGAAGGAGAAGTAGATCTTAGCCTATGGGAAAAAAACCTGAAGTCACTATCTATCACTTCTGATTCTTTCAGAGCGTTTAATCAAAAAGTAGAGACCTCTACTCACACTTCTTGCACAGTGCAGCCATGTTTATTTATTTTGTACTTATGATACTGTGTTTTATAACTTCCAAGAACTGCCAAAACTTAAATTGGGATTCAGCTCTTTGGATGGGAAGATGTGCTTGTGATATGCTAATAGTTTTGCAGATGCTTTGAATTCTCTTGATCATGCATGTCATGATTGTTTTCTTTTTACTTTTCAAATGCACTATAAGGACATTTCTTTCTTTTTTTTAGATGTATTTTGGGGCTTTTTACATCTTTATTGTTGGGACAGGACAGTGGATAGAGTCAGATACCACCAAGAGGAAGAGGGGAATGACAAGTAAAGGAGTCATGGTGGGATTCAAACCCACTTCTAGCCTCTGTACATTGGGTGCGCCCAACCATTAGGCTACTGAGCCCCAACTTTGATTTTCTTTAGATCTAGGAGCCACAATGGACAAAAATGTACCTCCTATCTCTATTCTGATCTTGCCTTGTATACACAACAAAATGATAGTCTTTCTTACTTTTAACAAACAAATTTGAATCTTTTCTGAAAAAAATAAATAAGACCAAACTTTTTAAACCCAGTATCAAACACAACAAAATTATTTTTCTCATATTTTTTTCTAATATTTCTAATTTCTTTGCTTCATTTTGAAGTAACTGAATTGTCAAATATTTTTGATTTCTCATTTTAAGGCGAGTGTGTTTCCTAACATTCAAAATGCTTTCTTTGTTGTCAATTATCTCATTGGCCTAAACCTTTATGTATTTTAATTTAACTCTGAACTGAATGTGACTTTCATGGAAGCTGTCTCAAACAAAATGTTGGAGCTCCATGTCAGGTGGTTGCTGTTCCAGAAATCATATGTATGCCATTTTTTTAAGACTTCTTTTTCTTGACACAAACCCAAGGTTATAAAAAGTTACTTCTTAATATCTTAACTGCTGCATGTGTCACCATCTTGGCTCAGTAGATGATGTTGCTTAATGTTTGAATGGCTGCTGTAAGCGTACACACGAGGCACAAGTCAATGATGAACACATAATGTGCTTAGTCAATTAAAAGCATCTAACATAACACTGACGGAATGTCTGGAGAACTCTAAGCCTTCTCAAAAATACATGTTTTAAAAAGTTTGCTGAATACTGTAGAAAACTTTATTAGAGAAACCTATTCATGAAATGATAACTAGAAGTCTTATGACACAAACAAAAGACACTCTTTCAAGATGGAAGAACTGTGTTTTTTTTTTTTACAATTCCTGAAAGGAGCTGTCAACAGGACACTGACACCCACTTTTTATATAAGTAACTACAAAGGGAAATATTCTGCTCTCCTATTGTTAAGTGCTCAACTTCGCCTCACAAGTTTTTCACCTGTGTCGTAGTGAGATTTCCTTTCTGACTTTGGATGGCAAAGTAAAATAAGAAATAAAGCCAGTTATCGTGAACAAACGCTCTTGATTTAAATCCCTTAATTTAAAGTTTAGGCATCGGGAGTGACTTGGTAAGGGTCAAAGAATCACAGTCCAGGCCAATCAGAGGGTTGCAGCAATAGGCTGCATGGCGAGGTAGCTGATTCCAAAATCCAAGTCAAGGACATTTGGAGTGGCACATATTTGTACTTCACACTTACACATTCGTAATCAATGTGAACTATGGTCGGTTTGTTTCATACTGACACAATGGCAGATTCAGATAATTGTAATGACTTACGCTTAAAGCATATATCATATAACTCGTTGATTGGCCAGACCAGAATTAAACAAGATGAAAACCTGGCTCTCACTTCACGGCCTAAATGTAAAGTTAATTTGCTTAAAAAGTGACATTCCCACGACAGAGCAGCAAGGTTATGTAATGGATAAGTTTAGGATTCAAAGCCAGTCACAATGCCTTCTGTTAAATGTACTGTATATCCATCTATTTATTCATACCTGTGTGGAAAGGTTGAGTGACCTGAGGAGAAATCCAAGCACACAGCCAGTCACTACAGCAATGACCGACAGTGTCAGCAAGCCGTTCCTCTTGCAGTAGTCCTTCACATACGCCCGGACTTTAAGCGACACCATGTTGTTCAACATCTTCTTCAAGCCCTCCATCATTTTTTGACTCGGTCCGTATGCGGACAGACCCCCCCTTCCCCCTGAATGAAAATGATATCTGAATCTCCTGGTGAGTGAAGTCTCTCGGTTTGTATCCAACAAGATCCGAGGTGGAGAAGAACTTCCACAGAAAGAGATCAAACGTCTGTCCTGTCTCACTGAGGAGCTCCTCCAGTCTGAGAGAGGAAGTATTGACAGTCTTATTCCTGGTAAGACATTGCCTAAAAGGATTATCCCTATCTCATGCTAACAACAAGTCCTCCACGGGCACTTAGGCTTATTGAAGAGGCAGGAGACATGAGTTCAGCACTGATAAGCTCCTCTATTCATAGCGCATTATGAGTTATTACTACTCAATGCCTTTAAGTCATCCCATTCGTAATACAGGTACTTGAATGTTGAACTCAGTGACATGCATTTTGGCTTTAATATGGACATGGTTCATAGGTCAAGGTCAACACCAAATTCTTCTTACATTTAGATTCTACATTCTCTAGTCATTGTGTTTATGTTTTATCTGTCAATGCAATCACACACCAAGAAAAAAGGGATTGAAAAGTAGAATAAACGAGGTTCATCTGAACAAGATCAAAGGTGTTGTGCGAAAAAGTGTTTCTATTTGAATGACAACTGATTTTTATTTTACTTTTAAGGACATATTTGTGTTATGTGTATGTCAGCAGAAGTAACTGTAAAAGGTAGAATCACGTCCAGTAATTAGAAGAAAATAATCCAAAGAAAGAACATGGGAAAACACAGTGACATAGTGCCTGTTAGCAGAAATCACGGCCCTCCATTGTTAGAAGCAGCATTATTTATCCGTCTATTCCTGCTTTTAGTTTGCATGTCTCTTTATTTCTGCAGTCAACCTAGGTCTGCTTGCGTCACAGCGTACATAATGACTCGGGAACAAATCCAACTCTCACTGTCCAACAATGTCTCCCCACGTCACCTGTAACCAATCCAATAATGTCTAATCCTTGTCTTTAACAATGCAGGAAGCACGATCAACAAACACAAGGGACACCACAAACAATTGTATGTGAGTCTTTGTTCCCCTCTAAAGATTGATTAACTTACAGCCACAGTAACTTAAGAGCCAGACATTCCCCTCAGGATTCAGTCGAAAACCAAATCAGCTGAAGTTGTTTATACTGCCCCCAAGTGGCCAAAGAACCAGCTACTGCAGCTACATTCACACTAATGTGATCATGTAAGCATCCAACCCAAAAATACAATGCTAATGTGCTGATGATAAAAGGGTTATGACTTGTTTTTACCATGTTCAAATGCTTATATTACAAAAAAAATCAAAATACAAAGTACATCTTAGGCTGAAGGAATTGTCTTGGATTTTGCATGTAACAGAAAAAATCAAATGTTGACCTTTGACCTTGCATATGGTGACACTGTATGAATAGTCAAGAGGTTATAAAAGGGATTTTTGCTCATGTTTCTGAAGGGAACATTAAGCACTCCGCCTCCATTTTTCTTGTAATGAAGTGTACTTTTTTTGTGAGTTGTTTGGCCTCCAACACTCTGCACAGAGTGACAACATACATAGAGTAACAACACATTAAAACAATACATTATATTACAGTTTTATGTCAGTGTGTTGTTATACCGATTAGGACAAAACAGTGAGACAAAAGTTATGTTAGTGTGTTGAAACTCTGCGATGTTACAGTGTGTTGTTAGTGTGTCACACTGTTCTGTTTCAGTCATTTTTAGTCATGTCATGCTGTGTTATTATTATTATTGTTATTATTATTTGAAAGCTTTGTGTCCATGGAATTTGCACAGGCAACGCCTTTTTTCTTATATCACTTACTCAAGTCTGGCTTTCCTGGTGGCCAGTTCACTTTCTTCCATGGTCTCTCGAGGCTTGTCCGGGCTTCCATGACCTCCCTCTTCTGGCTGGCTTCAACACACAGCCTCAATCTGCTCAACCTCAACAGGAGGATCAGTGGAGCTGAGTTGGCACACTCAGTTGGAGCCTGCTCTGAGATGAAGTTACAAGCACTTTAGGAGCCTGTCCAGGTTTCCAAAGGTACCAGCTAAAATCAGTAACTATATATGATAGTCAGAGCCATATGCACCAAGAGTGACAGACTTTGTTTTGCATGCTGTGTCTGAAATGTGTCTTCAAAACACTAGAAAGAGAAATAAATGCATAGCAGAAGAACATTGAGACACAAAATTCCTGCAAATTATGGCCACAGCCACACCTGTCCTTGTGAAACTACAAAAAGTGGAGTAAGTAAAGGTACCAACTTGCTAATGCAATTGATATTCTTCTTTTCTACTCTTTCTTTCTTTGCAAAGTGGCCAAAGGCTTTTTTTGTTCATAAACAAATGTGTGCTGCCCTCTGCTGGTACTCCAGGATTACAAAAACGTTCTGTTAGCAAGATACTGATTTAGTCCAATTCCAGATACTCCAGATTTTTTCTTTCAATTACACATTCAAAAGCAGATCATGAATCTTACCTAACAGCAGCACAGTTTTTAAGATGACCTACGTTTGTGGCACTATCACACAGCCTTTCATACAATCACAATCACTAGCCTTTGGGTTTATCGGTATACAGGACTGACTTTGAATTTGGATTTTTTTCACCTCAAAACTAAACAAAATCCATCTCCATGTGATTAAAATGCACGATAGCTGCTTAAATAACTGTGTTTAGGAAGTTTGAATGTTCTCAGTTGGCCATACCTGTCTGTTAAATGCACAACTCTTCCTCATAGACAGGGAGGAACTAATATCAATGTTATGCAAAGGGATGTGAATCAGGAACTTTAAAGTTAAAGTTCCTGATTCAAAGACGTAAAAATGACAGTTCAAAAATCAAATGAAGGATTAACTTACTCCTGCATTTTATGGAAATTAATGTATTATTTTACACGATTGAATTAGCCTATAGTTCTGTGCTCCTTCTTTTTTTAAGTGCATTAACGAGGGTGCACCTGTTTGATTCTCTGCTAATTCAAATTGTTTTGGTGACTGCCCAAACAAGAAGCATGCGTTTTTATCATTAAAAATGGATGATCCAAGAGTCTAACCTTCTGTGTGTAGCCTAACATTTTCTAGGATAGCCTACATACAGTCATCTTTACTTAATAATATTAAATGAACAGCTAGGCTAATCCACCATGTCTGTTAATCATAAATGCTTAGTTTTCATATTTGTTTCCTTTGTCCTGTTAACTTGAAACGTGCCATCAATTTATTGTATTAGGATAGGATAGGATAGGATAGGATATTAGGATAGGATAATACTTTATTGATCCCCAGAGGGGAAATTCGGGCATTACAGCAGCACAGACAAGAAAGCTCAAAAATACACATTAAACAGAATAGATAAGATAAATAAAAATAAAAATAAAAACAGGGGGTATATACAGTACAAAATGAATGATGCAGTTAACTGGGGGGAATTGAGAATTGAGACAGTATTTGCAGGGAATGACAAGATAAAGTGATTAAAGTGACTTGGTATGATAAATAAATAGCAGCAAGTAATGTAAAACAGCAGAGAAGAGAGGCAGTGTTGTACCACAGTAATGCAGAGTGCAGTTATATAATATAATATAATATAATATAGTGCAATATGAACAATATAGTGTAATATAATGAAATGTTAAATAATATAGACTAGTATAATACTATAATAAAATATATAGAATGTACAGTATATATGTATATATATAGATATAATAATAATACAATAATAACAATTATAAATCTTAATAATAATCCGTTTTTTTACCCACCTGCTGCTGCTGCTGCTGCAGTAAACGTTACTTTCACGGAGCTCTGTGATTGGTCAGTCACCGGGAAACTTTCAAACTCCTCCCCTTCTGCCACTGCAACTCAGCAGTCAGCAGCCAGCCATCCAGTGGCTAAGTTTTCGGGGGCAATTTTACCAAGCCAAGGTTAGTAGAAAACCCGTTTGTTTTACTAAAACATCCATCCAATTTCGGTACGAGTAACAGTTTGTTCCGTTTTTTCCCTCCCAACCCCACCTTCTTGCGGATTGTGTCATTTTCAGGCCGAGGAAAGCCCGAATATGAGTCAGTTTAAGGAGCGCTTCACGACTCTGCTCCACGAGAAGAACTTCGTGACGGATCAGTTGGCGAATCTGGAGAAAAAAACGGGAGTACAGAGAGAGTACCTCGCCTTGGGTATGTTAAAGGCTCGGTGTAAAGCAAACATTAACACTAGTTAAACACACTTCAATCATGCTTTATCGTGCTGGAACACACTGCAAATAATACCGAACATGTAAAAAAACTTCTAACCGGTTGTGGTCACACTGTCGCATGAGTTGCTTGACTTTTGACTTGGTTTCATATCCTGTGCCACTGTGAGTTGGCTCATATTTATTACCCTGATTTCAAGCTCGAATACCAAAGTTCATCCCGCTCAGACTTTTATGCTACTTTTATTAGATTACAGATTAGTGTTTGTACGTGCACCATCGTCATTGCACACACCTATTTCAAAAAATATTGCTGCCGAAAAAAAAAAAAAAAAGGAGTGTTTCTGATATGCCAGGACCACCACCAGCTGGTCTCAGGGGTATTTTTATCACGTCCTGAAATATCCCGTGCAATCCAGAGATGGAAAGAGATATAGATGACTTGTTATTCACACTGCAGGGTGCTCTTAAGTGTCAGGATTAGTATTATTGACACTTCACTGCTGTGAGTTTGCACAGTGGATGTAAAGAAAGAAGAAGAAAAGCCAGACAGCTCAGGCTATAGTACACGTCTGTGTCTGCAGTGCCACTCTCACATAGGAAACGTGTGACCTACATTTAAAACCACAGTCTTTATTCTAAATGGATTGGCACAGAAGGGAGCTCACAGCATGGCATGAAACGTGCTTTAAAGTTACACATGGCAAGGTCACAAATAAAGAATCATTTTGTCAGTATGAATTGTCAAATATGAAATATCTATCTATCTATTATTCTATATTTGATCAGACCTGGATCACAAGCACGCCTGCACAAATAGCTACACATTTATCTTTTTTTTTTTTAGTTTCATTAATTAGCAAAAAATAAAAACACCTTATGTTTCATAGACACCAAGGACAGTGGAGCATTCACGTCCAAAAAAAAACTGCGTTATGATGCATCCTGTAGTGATACTGTAACCGCATGGCTTCCTACGGACTGCATTACCGAGTCCGACATAAAGTAACAATTCAACAAGTTTCTATTGTAGTTATCTGTGTATAGAGCGCACAGAACATGGTCAGGAAATGAACTGTTGAAAGGGCAGCTCATTTGCAACCAAATCTTTAAACCGACCTGCTCCAGAGCAGGATGGGTGTGCAGCACTTGTAACCAAGTCGACAAAGCTAGGATTAAAGGCAGCCAGCGGTGTGAACATAAACAACGCTGGCTTAGGGCTTAGCATTCCTGGGTAACACATGAAATTAGCCCACACCCCATTTTACTAATTTCTTTCCTGCATTTAACCAAAACCAGAATGCAGCCAATTAATAAAATGAGCCATCCTAATTGCAGCACTGTCTTTATAGTCTTGCAGCGCTTTACAAATGTGTGCACGGATTATGGGTTGTTCTGTCGTTCATACAAGAAATTCTGTCCTTTTTGCCCAACATAATGTTATGTTATATTGGGGCCGCCCCCCCTAATATAATGGTAGGGGAAACACTGAAGTTTATTATGACTCCTTGGAACTATAAAGTGTGTAAACTAAAATGCTGACTGGAGTAGACTTCTCTTATATGGCCAAAGTAGAAAGTGGTCATTGTATTAGCGTAATGTTTCTGAATGCTTCATCTTCTATGTGATTTGTTGCACAGAGAAACTCCCAACTACTCTGGAATGAGTCGTTTGAGTCATACAGGATTACACAACATTAGAATGGCTTTCTGGCCTTGGGTTAAATTTTTCCACAAGGGGGACATGTGTTTTCATTTAAGGCTTTTATACCACATGACTGCCTTTTCTTTTGTTTCGTTGGAGTTCTCCTCACTCCCAGCACAAAGGCAGATAGCGGGACAGTTTAGAAAAGTTTGTTGCAGCTGGAAAAAGATCCCCAAAGCAGCTTTTAAATTATAAATATCGAGTTGTAGGTGTCCAGTAAGGAGTGTTTGCTTATGTCACCGTTTTTTTCCTTCAACGTTTTCCTTTTCAACCAGTAGTTCAAGTTTGCTTTAGGTGAAGAGACATGGGAGAATATTTGTATATGCACAAGGACAAACAAATGAGATGTAAAAGAGCAGGAAATGTGTTTGAAAGTATCGAGGTCTTTTAGGTCTCTTGAATGTAGTTGAATTTTGTGTCAGCAGTTATGATAAATATATTTCATAACCTGCACCTACAGTAAGCTACTTTCATCTTACTGTTTTTTTTTGTTTGTTTCAAAATAAAGGCTGTAAAACAGATCTGGGATTTAAAATCATATTAAAGGCATGGCAGAGAACTTTAATGAACGTTGAGAATTAAGTTTTGTTTTGAATGTATTTTCAACTTTTAGAAAATCAAAGCTATGCTAAATTTGGGGAACTGAATCCTTAATGTAAGATGTGGCAGCCTGCAGCAAATTCAGGTGAAGTCAACTTTTTCCTGACAGCTAACAAGCGAGCTTATTAGCTTGCTTGTTAGCTGTCAGGAAAAAGTTTCTATTTTTAAGTAGTTAGTTGCAGCTCATACAAACTCTGACCTCAATGTTCTGCAGATTTTTTTTGGGTGTGTTTGTTGGCGTAATCATTCAGAGCCCGACGGGTCAGTTTTATCTCATATATGCATTGTTATTACTAGATTTATTCACCAGTCAACTAGCATTTCATTTGAGGTTCATTGTATTAAACTAGCAGTTCTCTTTCACCAGCCGAGTGTGCCGTATTGATTACAACAAGCATTATCACTCTCCAGAGTGTCGAGGTGTAATATACGGACATGTGCAGTTACTTTTCAGTTGAGTGATCATCTTGTCTTTATATCTTTTCCGCAAGTGTTTGATTGCTGCATTTGAGGGATCAACGCAATAAATGTGTACAATCGATATCTATGATATCGCTTTTGGTATCGACTCCAAAGATCCCATATCTGTCGGGCCCTTGTATAATTCAGAACATTGCCCTCTGAACAATGACATTTTGATCAGTGGCCACCTTTTATACAACCATTCAATCCACATCAAATTCAACCCCTCTGCCATAAATTCTGCCTTCACAAATGAAAATAATTCAGTGGATATTATCTGTCAAGTGTAATTTCAGTTGTATGTTTATCAGCGAGGTCGTTGTCAAAGGTGGTTTTGACTGGTTTATTGAGAGGTATCATATTTGTCCTGTTAATATACAGGAAGTGTGTCGAAGGAGAAACACAATTATAAATAAGTACAAAAACCATGCAATACTTTTAGATTTCTATTAAATCTGAAAAAGAATAGTAGAATAAATAAAGTCATTGAAGAATAATCTTCTGTTGGTTTGAGTTATTGATTTTGCTTTAAGTACAGCAAGCTAAAAAAATAAGTGCAGAAACATTTTTACATTTAGCATCGACTAAGATCGCTTTCTGCATTGTACATATTGTTCATTATAACAAAATACAAGTAAAAAAAAAAAAACAACAGCATTAGTGGAATCCACACACAGTCATGGATTATAGGTCAGGTCTTTGAGACTTTGGTGGAGTCAAAGTCAACTTCCAGCAACAGGATTTGAATAGTAGTGTTTGACTTGTGTTCCATGTGCCTCCTAATCCCGGTACTGTGCTGTCCTAACATCCTGCTATTGTGTTCACAACAAGTTAATGTTGCTTGACATTAGACGTTTTCTTAATGTAACACGATAACCTCACCCTCCCCCTCACTGTCTTCTGCTCACTCTTTGCCTCACTTCTTTCTCCCTCTGCAGGTTTTCTGAGTTTAGTCGGCCTGTACCTTCTGTTTGGATATGGAGCCTCACTGCTCTGCAACCTGATTGGCTTTGCCTATCCAGCATATTTCTCGTATGTATGAAGCATGGCTTAATCTAATGTATGTTTTTTTTATTTTTTATCAATCAATTGAAAATCAATGCAATACAAATACATATGGTTAAAAAAACTGAGCAGATAAATACTTTGTTTTTTAAATTAACTTTATTAAAACTAATGTTAAGTTCAGTGTAGACTGAACACATTGCTGTATTGTAATTTTGGCTGTCATGCTGTCATATGGTCACTATACTTTGTAAAGTACACATCTAAATGGAATGCAGCCACTGTCAATTATTAAAAGTCATTTGAAGCAGCCTTGTACTGCCTGCTTTGTCAAAATATACGCTGTGAAGAAAATATCTGAGAATAGATGTAAGCGTTCAATATCTTTACTTTGTGAACTTCTGACAGCTGTACTTGTTTCTATTATTGATTTAAGAATTTGTGAAGCAGTTGTAAATAATGAGCCTTTGTTCATTGTAATAATGAATGTTCTCTTCTTAACAGCCTCAGGGGGGTCTCTTTGGTCCTCTATAGTATTTTTTGCATCACTATTTCTCAACAGTAGAGCAGTGTGGAAAGCTCTAGTGCTGCATCATATGACAAACACTATCACAATAAGGGAGAATCACCTTACAACCTAACAACCCAACAGCACAAATCCTAAATTAAGCAATACGGGGAAAATGCTTCTCTTTTAAAACTACAGAAACTGGTCTCATTTCCAAGAAGAAGTGGAACAATTTAGTGGTAAACATGACCTTGTCCCAACTTTTTTTAAAAGTGGCATCAAATTCATAATGTTGGGCAACAAATACTGTAGGGGTTTCTATGTTTTGTAAATTGCTATTTGTATTTTACACAGCGTCCCCTTTTTTTTTCTCTAAACAGGG